ATAAGTACTATGGTACCTGCTTAGTTGTTTTCTCTGTCATTTCTGTATAACGAGTCCCGATACACGAATGACAGAAGAACAGAGCCCCTTCGTGATACAAGCCACGACCGCCATGCTTGACAACCGCAGCTTGATGCAAAAGGCTCTTTGAAGCAATGTCCTCCATTTGGTGTTGCGCGCTTAACTGCTCTGCGTGGCCCCAATGTATCATGTCGATAATACTAAACATAACATCACAACAGCGGGCAGCAAAGAGTTTGCATATCTCCAATAGACTTACTTGTGCTTAGCTTGCAAGTGTAAAAGGTTATTTCTCCCTCCGTGGCAGACTGCATAGCAAGACTTATGATAGTGTAGATTGCCTTTTGGTTACAAAACCACCTCGAGAGTGATGGGGATCTGGGGGAGACTTAGGTCAGTTTAGATAGAAATTTAGGTAACATTAGTATAAATTAGTAGACCCTGAGATCAGTCTTTTGGTAACGTTAATACCCTATTAGATATCAAGAGTTTCGAAGATCGCGTCCCAGACACATTGTTCATCGACGATCTCATCTCACCGCGAATTTGGCAGAGATGAGATGGCCGTTAAATACCTTCCGTCAAGACTTCCTACAGTAAAGCCATATTATGACCCCTCGCCTCTCATACATAGATCTACATCTCGCTTGTCAGCAAGGACATAAAAGTTCATGTGCTGTTTCATACGAGCTAAGCTCTCCATAAAAAACAACGGAGCTTATGCCGCATCCGCTGTTCTAACTTCGCCATTCGAGCCTCTGATAAAATAAACCGAAAAGCCCGGATCGACCTTCACCCAACCTCCCTGCTTAGGCATACCCAACCAAACGCCACCTTGGCATTTCTTTTGGAATGCACGATCACAATTGCTCCAGTGGATGGTTTGGCCAACACCATTAATTTCATCAGTGCTCTCTTCTTTCGCGGCAGCATCAAAGGCTTCCTGGTCAAATGGTTGTACCTCCTGTCAATTACCATTAGCGTCACACTATAGCCGTGATCACCCAACAGTTCTTACCATGGCCGGTTCTCAACGTTCTGTTGATGCACGTGTGGTGAATAGTGACAGCTAGGATACCGTATTTGAGTTTTCGAGGTTACATCTCCGCATCTGAGGCGCGTAACAGGTCACGTGATTAATGAATCATGTCATGGCCCATAAATCGATCAAGTACCGGGTAAACTCCCGTCGAGCATGATGAATTTTATGACGGTCGATCAGCAATAAGTTTAAAGAACATAAATAGACAGACTTAGGAGGATCTGTGTTTCTTTGCGCAAACTTCGTAATTCATTCAGCCTTTCAAGGATAAATGTAGCTACCCGATACCGAGAGTTCAGCATGGTAAGACTAAATTGACCTGTACACGGTGGTTCAATAGCTAATTAAAGATTGAAAGCTATTAGAAAGCGAGTTCTGCAGCCCGCCATCATTAACGACCGACTAAGGACCAGATAGCACAATGGAGCTTGGAAAAGACTTCCGGTGAAGGCAACTTCGATATGCACTATGATACTTCCATCTCAGTCTCTTGATCCAGGGCTATACTGGAACGTCAGGCTCACCAGTACCTTGCATAAGGCGTCTTTCGATGCGCAGAGGCGTGAGCATTTTCCTGTCTCCCAGGTAATTATTGATTTAGGCAAGCAATATGTACATGGACCAGATTCAGATGGTGCGAAAAGCTCCCAGAACCTGCTGGGCATCCTTCAAATGCTTGCAGCAAACCTAGAGTATTAACGACAAATCGCTCCATCCATCCAGCATACTATGAAAGCAACGAAAGGAAAGTAATTCAGCCCAAGAAGGTCTCTTAGCATGTAAGTAGAGGCAAAAATAAAAACATACAACAGCGGGGATTCGCTGGTCGTCACCGACCCAACTACTGATCCACCCCTCACTGGCTTGACTATGGGAGAGCAGACGGGATCCCGTATTTTCCGGTGGGTATGGTCGTATGTGTTCGTTATGCCACTGCAGCAGCCCAAGTCTCGCGTTGACTGATCTCAGAAGTATAAATCACCTCTGTCTTCAAGACATTCACATTCGAAAGTAACCAAGGTCCAACCAATCCCTGATGTTTCTGGGTATACTGCAGTATCTCCCAGAGCCATGACTGCCAAGTAGAAACAGCTCTTTCAACGGCTGCCCTGTCAAGTCGGTCACAGCTGCAAGCTCCCACTTGGCAGTGATGCATCAGCCATGTTATGCAGGACGAGGCTTGTCAATGAGCTGATTGACGAGTTCATGTCAGATCGGATATGATTAGCGACAGTGGAGTGCTTGCGGCAGCAGATAGGTCACGCGTGTAATCTTAGGGTTGGCAAGATGGCCCAGAGGTGAAGGATTTCTTTGCTGTAAGGAGCTCAACTGCAATGCCACTGGATGGGATACCAATCAACTTCCAGTGTCCAGTTCTTGACAGTAAGAATAAATAGGCCAGTCAACTGATATACCAATATGACCCTTGCCATGAAATGGATCTTGTTGTGATAAACAATAAGACTGATGGCGACAGAAAATGCCTTTGACATTGATACCAGAAGTAAAGGAAAGGAGAAGAAGGGACGGGGAACTCGTATCAATTACCTGGGTAATTGGGGCTGTCATGGCTAAAAGATGAGCATAAACACGGCGAATAGAATATTAACATAAAGTAACAGGGCCACGTTATATATATTCCCGAACGCTAACATCATCGCCTTGCAGATTTTAAGAGATCATAGAACTATATAAACATATAACTACCAATAAGTTCAGTAAGTAGTTTACCCACACTTTTAAGTATTATTTCCAACTAATATCAGCAAGTATATAACTATACCAACCTCCTACTTAAGTTGTATATTAAGCATAACTAATAACTAGTCCCTTGCTATCTCAAGGCTAAACTAAATATAGGGTTTATAATCCTAATCTTCTAGTTCCTTTATATAATAAATCTATAACTTATCTAAATACTACTATGCCTTAAGCTATATATCTTAAAGACTTACTTCCTCCTATTAAGTAGCATAAAACTATAAGCTAATTAACTATTTTACCACCTGGATATAGCCTTAATAGGTCTCCCTATTAACAATAGTTTCTTTATCTGAACTATCCTAGTCTACGTCATATGCCTAAACCCAATAAGGATCAAGATTATGGTTTGCCGTAAACTCACCGTCCTTAGGCAATTCAGGAATCAATTCGATGGGAATTATAATAAAAGTATTTCGTAGAATTCCAGAGGAGAGGAGATATTCTTTGTCCTGTTTATATTGTTTAAAGTGCCTGCGGAGTAATTAGTATATGTATATGCCAAGGTCCTTATTAAACTCACTTTCTCAGATCTTCATCTTCAGCCAGTTCTGGGGTAACTCGATATATAGGCCAATCCTCAGTTAGGAGCGGTTTCAACACCTGCCGACGGTTTTCTTCACCTTGGCAATGGATGTTCATCCAGGTTGCATCTGCCATATCCCTCCCACCATAGGTATTCGTCCAGCTTGATTAAATGCGACTCCATAGCGGTTCCCAGTCAGAGCCATGTTTCTAATTAACCTCTCTAGATAAATAGTAGATAAACCCCTATTTACGGCGAGTTTCGAGGATATGCCGTATCTAGGCTGGTAGCGCAGGAGATACCTGTTTCTAGAGTCTTTCTAGAGTTTTCTTATATATATCCTGTTTCAGAAGTGGTCTTATAGCTTCCTTATATTTCCCCTGCTTTATAAGTTGTTATATAGATTTTATGTCTTTTAGGGTCTATTAGGTTTATTTCTTAGCTTTAAGGTATTTAATAATAGGAATTATCTATTTAGAATTTCTCTAAGCTCTTTTAAGCTAATTATATTATATAAGATCTTTAGCTTAGGTAGTAAGAGTTTATAACTCCTCTTCTTAAAGGTGTTTTTTATAAATTTCTTATATTATAAAATTATCTTTATTAATATAATAAATATTATAATAAACTAGCTTTTAGGTATTTAGGGGAAAAGGCTATATACTTTAATTAAATTCTATAATATAATTAATTAAAATCTAACTAGTTCTTATAATATTATTAGTAATATATATAATTATTATATTCTTATTATAGGGGTAAATACTTCGGCTAAGCAGGGTATATTTTAATTATATATTAGATATAATCTTTAACAGGTTATTTAAAGCAACTTGAATATGGTTATGGCCTGCGATAAGTTCTTCTAGCATCTAGATCTTCTGCTCCCTGTCGACGATTATTTAAACCCTGGAATGTTCCGACTGTAAAAGATGCCGCAAGCGTTCTCTACGCTCTGCTAGCGGCAGGTTCAAGACACTCCTATAGAGCTCCAGATTTGGGTCCATTGTAGTGGTTAATCAGCAAGTTAGTCGTGTTGGTGAAGATGAGGCTGGATTCCAAGAGGGGAGGGGCTACAAATTGTGAGGGAATTACGCGAGTACGTTTTTTTATTTCATTAGCGAACAACTAAACTCCACCATAGATGTGGGTCAATCAATGTGCAAAAAACCAAACCAACAGAGTATTTGGCCTGGCTGTATCCTTAGTTCCGACTTCCGACAAGATGATCCCCGCCTTCGATCATAAGAGCGATGAGGAAACCCTTGAAATCTCAATGGGGATCAGCTCCGCGCTCGAATTTTCTGAGCTACCTCGGAAAAGAACTGTACATGCTCCATCGCAACAAATACCAGGCAAATAGAAACACCCAGACTTGATTTAACAACTGCCTACATCTATCAGGAAGAAAACGAGGTACAGCCTCCCGATGACCCCATTCGTACTACGTACTGCATGCAATGTATAAATGTAAGAGGGACTCCAGGATATCACGAACGAGTTGCAAGTTTGATGACGCGTTTATGGTGCTCAGGCTGCAAGGCCAAGCACCTTGCTGTGCAATTCTCGGTCGCGTCCCGAAAGGCAACAACATCTTAGAGACTTTACATTGCTCACCAGGGCCACCTTGCAGGTTGCCTGTATTTGAAGATGTCCTTGAAAGATCTCGAGTCGTGGCATAATGTCGTCGGAACTAAATCGATAGACTGTACAGACCTAACCTGTCTATTTCCCGGTGCCTCCCTTAAGTACACAGGTATCAGCGACTTCTATGCCGACCTCGATGGCACCGCCTACGTGGCTTGGCTGATACCGGTTATTAAGTCTGATGCTGATACTTCTCCTACGTCTCTTATGGATTGATATATATTGAAGATAAAAGAAATATATGGGTTATCTGCTAAAAGCTAAGCTCTTCGGGGAGCTTAAAATGACATTAGAAGGGCTACTAGAGCGAGATTCTTTCTGCTTTTGCGGATATAGTATTAGCTACGTGGCTGGATTTGAAGGTGATAATAAGGTTGACTTATTATATTAAATTAGTCTGCCAGATGATATTAATAAGCTTGTGCCAGAGGACTAGGTTTGTATGCTAGATCTAGACAGTTATGGCCACTTTTAGGATCCAGAAACTCAGCATACTACCTGGTATTATAATCCAACCTGCGCAACTATCGGCGAGCTTATTAGGTTCTATATAATAATTACCATAGATAAGAGTTATTAGAGTAAGCTTGATGAGCCTGAGATAAAGTCAAAGCTCTTAGACTCCCTTGTTGATGGTAATATTAGATGTATAATGTCGGTTGAAGATATTTGAATCCTAACCGGAAAGTTCTGGGATAACTGACATGGCTCGCATACACAAGGACTAGCTGTTGGCTGGGATAAGCCCTTGTCGTCGTAGGTTTAGTGTTGCCAGGGGGTGTCACTGGTTGTGTTTTGTCGTATGTGAACAAATACGCCTCTGAACCTATCATGCCAGTTAATACATTTACCGGCCTTAACCACTTTGATTATCCCTATCCTTCTGATCCATATATTAGTAGGCATTACACTTCAATATAACGTTACATGGCAGAAATTATCCTCAACTTCGCCATTGGCTGAAATCCGATGGCGTTGGTGCATGTTTGGCAGTGACTCTTGCGGCGTGGTTAATAACAAGGCTGGTGGTCTAGTACTTACTCGAGAATGGTATCGTGTATTCCATGATATCTCTGTTGCTGCTAGGTACTCTGTCAGACAACAAACACACTGGACACTCTTCCAACCGCCTAAATGCCCTTTGGTTTAAGAGAAGGAAATGGAACGACAGAAGTGTCGTATGTGCTTTCTGCTTCCTATCAGCTGTTGTCGGGCAAAGGTGTCGTTACTAGGGACCATGTGAAGCCAGTCTTTTACAATTGGGTAAGTTCATAACTTACGTGTACTTAATACAGTCAGGCAAAAGGTTCAGGTCAAGGGCCCACGGGTATCAACAAGTCAACGTCACACTATCATGTACACTGTCATAATCATAACATTACAGATTCAAGGGAGTAAAAGGGTTTTAGAGACAACACATAATTTCTGTAGACTATGGAGTTTCCTAAATACTAAAGAGTGCGCTATCGCTGCACTGAGAAAGCCCAAAGCAGTGTATCCTATTCCTGTAGGGTGGGGTCTCTAATCTTCGTGTCTCGCAAAATCAAACGCCGAACGCAGTCTCACGCTGTCTATATACCACCTCGGGAACCGCGAGTTTAGTAGGCGATACCCTCCTTGGAGTTGATGTAGACAACCTTAGGGGGAGGGACGCCGTTGAAAGAGGTCGAGTAGTCGGGCCCATAGGCAGCAGGACCATAGACCCAGACGAGATGATCTGGAGCAAGGACATCGGGAATATCAACAGTCTTCTCCTTGCCGTTGGCGTCCTTTCCAAGGATGATGTCGGAGCTGTCACAGCTGGCACCATACAGAACACAAGACTTGGTCTTCTTAGAAGGAGAAGAGGTGTGCCACTGGAAGGAAATCTTGTTGGCCTCGTTGAGTCCGTGGAGAGTACCGACGGAGAGAAAAACACGCGAGACGGAAGCACTTGCGGTGTGCTTAGAGACGTTGATGACATGGGTCTGCAACCATCCAGCCTTGGAGATGAAGGCGCGTCCAGGTTCAGTCATCATGATCAGCTTGACAGGCCAATCCGCAAAGACGGAAGAGAATATGTCGATGGTGGGTTTGTTGTAGTCGACGAACAAGGGAGCAGTCTTGGTCGAGATGCCAGCCCATCCTCCACCAATGTTGGCAAGAGTCATGGTGATGCCGAGTTCGTTCTTGACGCGGTCGAAGACGCCGCGGAAGAGCTGGGCAAACTGGACAAAAGCGTCGGTGGCGAGGTTCTGAGTACCAGGATGACCAGAGAGACCGATGAAAGTGAGGCCATGCGCCTGAGCTTCTTCGATGATGGTGAAGGCCATTTCCGGATCAACACCAAACTTGGCAGAGAAGGGCTTGTCCGAACCTTTTCCAGAAGAGACAAGACGACAGAAAGGCTTAATTTCAGTGAGAATGGTGGCCAACTCACAACCCTTACGCTTAGCAACACGATCAGCTGCCTCGAGCACACGATAGACCTGCGAGGTGCTATCAACAGCATAGCACTGAATCCCAACATCAATACCCCACTCAAGCTCATTGCTAGGAAGATTGCAGTTCCCAAGCGAGATGCGAGCAGGATTGACGCCTCTGTCGACGAGGGGCTTGGCTTCACCTTTAGAAGCACAGTCAAAACCACATCGGAGCTGGTCGTAGACGTCAGTGACGGGCTTAGCAGCGCAGGCCTTGACGGCACCGAAATGAACGACGTCGATGTTGGTGGTTGAAGGCATGGAGGCCATGAAATCGCGGACGGTGTCTTTGACGGTGGCCACGTCGATGACGAAGAGGGGCTTTTCGCGTTCGGAGAGGGGTAGAGCGTTGTGCTTGGTGAAGGTAGCTTGGATGCCTGGGGACATTTGGGGGGGGGTAGACGACGGGCATGAGGATCGGATGGAAGATGGTGAGATGTGAAGTTGTTTTTGTTGAGGGAATTGTGATTTGGAGGCTGTTGATGGTAATGCCTGAGTCGGATGTTGATGTTGGTTCTCAACTGAAGAGTGTTGACAAGATGGTTGGGTTGAAGAATTTCTATGCTGGATCAAGAAATTATATACCGCAGTGGAGCATCTGTACAATCTCTTTATCTGTTCCACTGGTAGTTGTTCTGTTGCAGTGGTAGTTCTTCATGTTCAGCTGTCCTGATTCAATGGGCATATCAGAACGCGGATGCCAGTGCCATCGCACTCTTATTCGGCCTGCGATGCATTGAGCTCTCTTTGTACATCCGAAGATCGTGTCTGTTCGTTCAAGACTCGTTCTCAGCTCAGTGGCTGCCAGTTCTTTTGTTCTGAACTTATTTCCATTGAACAGCTGCCCGCAGTTACTTCCCCGTTGTTTGCCTCATTTGAGATTGCGCAACACTAGTCAGCCAGAGCAAGATATCGAGGTAGTTTTATCAGTCTTTTGGTCAATTGTCCTTTCCTACGAGACTTTTACAGCCTGCACTCAGGATGGAGAAATATAATTCAGTCTTACATCTACGATCCCATTGTCTAAACATCCAAACGTCACTACGGAGTACGGTGTTGGTTTGTAGGAGTTTCAGGATTGTGAGTTTACATGATGATCATCACACTCTCTGCCATCGTACATCAATCCAAAAACCTAGCTTGATTCCGTTGAGGACTTCAAAATGTCAACTGTTTTGTTCTATCCACGACGGTCTTGGAAGTTTCCCCATGGATCATTTATCCGCGCATACCAGACGGCCAGTGTTTAGCCAGAGTCTCTGTCGGCTCGTCTATCATGCATGAATAACACGCAATGAACCAATCGCCCTTCACCCGGATAGGAATTAGAGGAGTGGGGTTACGAGCCGTATATTTAGCCTCGAACTCGTGGAGGACCGGGTCTTGGTTATACTCGAGCTATTACTTAGCCAGCAAGGCAGGCATAGCTACGTATTTGCAAGTTTTTGTTAGAAATAATATTTCAAAACGTGGCAAAGCTATTCACTCGACTCAGTAGTATCTAGATGAACTAATGTATTTATTAGTGCTGGCCTGGAAATGATTTCTCCAGCGCTAAAAGTCAGTATCAGTTCTTAAAGTTTATTCACACGTATGTTACAAATTCCTGGGAAACGGGAGTACATGTGCCTAGATTGCCCTATTATGCCACGACCCCGAGTGGCTTTTACGAGAAGAGAATGCTTGCCTCTGTTTTAAGAAACCTATTACAGCAACTAAGGAAACGGGATATGGAGATTGCAAACTGCAAGTTCTTAATTATAGTGCCAGATTAGTATTACCGGTTTATTTACAGATGTCGCAGCTAAACAGGTAGCACTTGCGAGAGACTGGAGGAAGTGGGGAAAGCAACAAGATACCCTTCTTTTCACCCAAGACTAGACCAGGTGGCATTAACGACTGCTCTAACAATTCCATTCAAAGTCTCCTGACAGACGTTGAATAGACAGAGGTATAATGGAAGCAATAAACTGTTCAGCTGCCGACACCACCACTGGTTTATCCAAGTCGCAAAGCATCAATAAACCCCAATGGTCTCACCAACAACACTTCGAAAGATACCATCTGGGTCAAACTTCTCTCGGACTGCCTTGAAACGAGCAATATGCTGCAAGCAAATATCAGCATCCCGGTCTCAGCCGTCTAAAAATAATCTTACATCAGGGTCTAGGTTCTTGGCAGAACGCTCGAATACCTCTCTTGTATTTTTGGTCCAATGCGGGCGGCACGGGAATTCATCAATGAGCGTTTCGGCAAGTTTGTGATCTGTCATCCTGTCAGCTGGGACTCTCGCTACCCATCCATCGAACCAACTTACAAAACGGTTCGTTGTATCGCAGCCCATCACCGATACTTGGTTTGTAAGATGGAAAATCCAACATAATAGCACCTTTATCCCAATCAGCGCCATCGGACGTGCCGTACGTAACCTGGCCTAATAGGTCAAAGTACGGCCTGCCAAACTTGATGTTGATGCCGCTCCTGTAGGTCGATGCCATAAACTTGAGCTTCTTGGCCTCGTTGTCAAATAGCTGCCGAACGCGCTTGAGCATTGCATTCGCTTGAGTCACGGGGAATGCAAGCTCAAGAGTATAGCCGTGGATACCATACTCCCAGACTGGTCGCTGGTCGGGATACAGACCGCCGATGAGGACGTCGTAGTTCCAGCCGTAGACTGGCCACTTGGTGATGGGTTCGTTGGTCGTCTTTTCTCGAAAGTTGGGGTTCTCCCATTGTCCAAAGAGGATCTCCTCTGCGAGGAGGTTTGACAGAGCGACGCCTTTTCCGGTGTTCCAGAGGGCAGTGATAGCGCCGGCTTCGAGTTTGGTTATTGAGAACGTATTCTGGAAACCCTCTTGGTCGCTCTTGTTGGTTGGAATGACGTCGTAATAGCGCCAGTGGAATTTCTTCTTATGAGGCCACCACTACGATCATTTAGCATGCCGTCACTACAAGGAAGTGAAGTACTTACCCATAGGTTTGCTGTGGCATAAGGCGAAATCATACCATAGATATCCCCGTCAAGAACATCAGCCTCGTCAAGCGTCTTCTGGTCGGCGTAGACTTTAAAGTCGGGATAGATCTTGAACTTCATTCTGACGATGACACCCAAAAGACCAAGTGATGTCGAGGCAGCAAGCCACTCATCACTATCGTCACGCTCCAGGTGCCGCAATTCACCGTTGCCATCGATGATATCGAGGGCCAAAACACCAGCCGCGACCATAGAATCCTCCCTAATAGACGACCTGTGGGCACCCATCGCGACGCATCCAGCCAAGGTGATGTTCCAATTGACAAGGGTATACCCCGCAGACGCACCACGCTGATGTAAGTAGTCTGCGAGTTGCAGGAATGTCACACCAGCCTCGATCATCACAGTGCCCGCATCGAGATCTAGATCATAGATCTTGTTGACCTGCTCTGTACGAACAATGACAGTATTCGGGTCATCAGAACACATTGTGTCATACCACATATGTGCTTTTCCCGACGCGCGAACTCTCTGGCCTCCTTGGATGGCATTTTGAACGATGTTTTGGATGTCCTTGACACTAGTTGCGTCGTGGACAGCCGAAACATTCTGGCAGGCTGGGAAGCCGGGGCCGTCGAAAGTGTTGTACGTCAGAGCATTGGCACCAACGGCCCAAGTGAATACGGCCAAGCATCGAAGAACTGCCATGGTGGTGGGGAGGGATAATTAACCACTGGCGATGGGGTTTGAGTGGCAACCAACCTGAATAGTCTAGAAGCAATCCCCATTGTATTTAAGCTTATTCCAAACAACTAGAGGTATAAAGTTAATTGCGCTCCGATAAGCGAGTTCCATGTGAAAGTCTAGGACGAGCGCCGAGCAAAAGCTAAATCCCCGCGTAAGGTTGCATTCACTAAACCTCGAGTTGGCGATCGACATCATCAGATGATGTAGTGCAGCTCTCTTCAGGCAGGTCCCCTGCCCAGGATGGCACTTTACGCGGGGAACTCGCCAAGTGCAATAGTGTTCCTGGTTTATTACCCCAGAATGGGTAGTTCCGTGATCTGCTGATGTCTAAAAACAGCAAGGTATGCATAGAACCCCAGTCGTATATGCCGCTCTGTTAACATTACCCCGCGTTTTAAACTGGATTGTTGGTGAGGCACAGGAAACGACGTCCTGATTATGATCAAGTTCACCTCCGCTATGAATGCGTTTTTCAAAGCTCGAGTCGCGGAAGTGTAAGTTTAACATATGAGGCGTTTTCAAGGTCCGCATAACTAGATCACAGCCACGAGGTAAAAGTCGTGAAAGTCGGGCGAAGGGTCCGCATAACACTTTCATTGACAACAGGTCAAGCGCGAGAAGATGAAGCCCACAAGTCACCATGGATAAAGCTACCATCAGTAGTAAGACCAGACCCAAGAACTTGACATATACAGCATGGCCCCAGTTACTCTGAATTTACGCTCGCTGATACCTTATGTGAAGCTTTGCCATCAATTGTATAACATGGGGGGACTCTTAGTTAGCCCAGGTAGCTAATAATAACTCTATCCACATGTCAAAAGAGGCGAGTCCTGGTGTCGAGGGAGTCGAATTGCAGCAACGGGTTGACTACAAGTTCGAAAGGGAGTCGTCCATGAGATGCGAAAATTGATATTTTGAATCCGATAATAGACCTATTTATTTCCTTAGTTACTTTCAATAACATCGATTCTCCGGATCAGGAAATGTATTTGATAAACGCTGGAAAATCTGTTGGAACAAACTGTACTATTTAAATATTAATCAGCGTTGAAAACCTACCCTACGGCTGCGACCCACTTTCAAAAGGCCGTCAATGGATACTGCGTCGCGGGGTCGGAAGCGGGAACAATGATATTCCAGGTGCAGCCACTTTCATTATAGCAAAAGGAGTATCCCTTCATCATTACGATCGTAACAACATAAGAATTACATAAGAAGCAAGCATCTATAGAGTAAAGAAACCGCCTGAACCATAGGCGCAATCATTCAAAATGCCGCGCATGAATCTCGGCCTCCCCTACAACCATTGCAGCCACTCCCCTTGCCCAGCTGGCTTCCAAAGCCCCAACCTTCTCCGCTGCGGAGCCTGTCAAACCGTCAAGTACTGCGGCAAACCTCATCAAAAAGCCGACCGGCCGAGGCACAAGGTCCAATGCATCCCGATCAAACAGACCAAGGACAAAGTCACGGAGGAAGAAGCCAAGTGACGCGCTAATCCCGGCGACGACACCAATGGAAACCCTTTCGACCATTCCGTAGGCCTTTTCTGGTTCTTCAAGAGCACTCGTCCCTACATGCAAGCTCGCCACGACTACATCAGTGCTATTCTCAACGTCCGCACCGGCGAAGCCGTCGAGATCGCACTCAAGGAATCTCTTGACCTGCTGCGTCTCTGCCGAGGCGACAACCTCGGCGTTCGCTCACAAGTTCCTGCGCTATACCTCCGACTAGGAAGGGATCAAGAGGCTTACGATTTCATCAAGTGGTATGCGGTGAAAGGCGACTCCAAGTACGACTGGCGCGACATGAGCTTGCCGTTCCTTGATCTACAAGGAGAGGATGCATTCGAGGCTGTTATCGAGAAACCTTATTACTACATCTCCTTCAAAATGGCCCTGATGCTCATCAAGATCCGGTTGATGAAGGATTTAGAGTCGCTGCAGGGGTTTTTGCAGAAGAAACCCAACGCGACGGGGGAAGAGAGATATGATTATGTGCAGGAGGAGGCTATGAGCGATATCCTTCTACAGCGGGCGGATGTAGTCGCGAAAGACGACTACAAGGACTTGATTGCGGAGCTGAAAGGACAAATACTGCAGTTGTACAAGATGGTTAAGGAGGACAACAAACACATCTGGCCGGGCATTGAGAACCCGAACCTGTATGCATATGATGTGCCGACCGCTTATTCTCCCGGCTCGCGGGAGGAGGCTGTGCTTATCTTTCGCAACTCGTGGTACTCTTGGTCAGAGACGGAACCGGCGATACGGTATATCAGGGGGATTATTAAGAATGATAGGTAGGGAATCTGCCGTGTGCACAAAATTAGAGAGCTCCGTGCCCAGCGTAAAGATAATAAAAACGTATCCCAGATGACTTCATCTTGGATACCGAGAAAGCTGCCTTATTCGAGACTTTTGGGTAAAAAAGTGAGTCGTTGAAGTGTCGGGCCGAGTTTCGTCGACACGGTATCGCACCTAAAACACGGGGCTAAGCATTTTATGGGGTGCGCTTTGACTTTACGTCCGGTGAGCCTGACACAGACGATCCGGAACAGAACCCCATAGACAGCCATGATCGACAACGTTTCCGGTTAGCGACAGTATTTTCGGTTAGACATTCCAGAACGGCACGAGTCAGTTGAAACGCGAGTCAGTCGATGGACGCCACGCTCAGACTTTAAAGCCGGCCAGACAGAAGCTAGAGCCAATAGTAAGGGGAAAATATGGAGTCATCGCGGCATTGAAATGTAAGAAGACGAGATGATGTGCCGAGGAGGATCCGCCACGTGCGGTCGGATGAGTGTGCCGAGTAAGTGCGGTAGAGGAACGGAGCGATTGAGGCTAATACAACTTGGGGGATTCTTGCGAGGGAGTTGTTTGAGATGGTGGATGATAGCTTTGGTCATGTTGATGGTGTTCTATAAGTATCAGGGCTGTAAAGACTTCAGTTTCAAACCTGCCCAACATTCATCACATCATTACTACCTCTGGCAATACTGAAGCCCACTCTCAGCCATGCTTTCACAGTTCATCACGTTCCTCGCCCTTGCAGGCTGCGCAGTCGCCGCTCCAAGCCCAAGAGCCGCAAAGTGCACATCCTACACCATCATCAACACACGCGGCACCGGCGAAATCCAAGGCCCATCCGCTGGGTTCCGCACCATGAACTCCCAAATCACGTCCCAAGTCCCCGGCGGCAAGATCTACAACACCGTATACCCCGCTGGCTATGACCAAAACTCCGCACAAGGAACACAGGACATTATCCGCGAAGTGAAGAGTGTCTTGTCGTCTAACCCTAGTGAATGCTTCATCTTGGAGGGTTACTCCCAGGGCGCAGCAGCGACTGTGAATGCGCTGTCGCAGTTGACGGGGAGTGCTGGGGATGCTGTCAAGGGGGTGTTCCTGATTGGTGATCCGTTGCATAAGAGCGGGTTGGCGTGTAATGTTGATAACAATGGTGGTACGACGACTAAGAATGTCAATGGGCTTGAGGCGTTTGGGGGTGCTGGTATTCCTCAGAACTGGATCTCTCGCACGCTTGATGTTTGTATCTTTGTAAGTTCTTATGAAGCTGGGTTTTGGGGGGTGTTGACTAATGTGAATAGGGCGATGGAGTCTGTGATACGACGCATGGGTTTGGTATCAATGCTCAACATCTTCAATATCCGAATGATGCGGCGACTCAGAACCTTGGAACGACTTTTGTTGTCAAGAAGTTGAATGGGTAAGGGAGTCGATTTAGAAGGGAAATGTTCATTTTGTGTAGCTACTATCGAGAATGGCGATGTACATAGTAGTTTGAGAGTCAAAGTTGGAGTTTCTGTGACCTTTTCATGATGACAACGAGCTTGATCCAAAGTCCAATAGTGCATGTTATTCTTTGCTGTTGGCGTTGTCCTTCAATTGCATGAAGCAGCCTAGATATCGCTCCGGTCTGTGGAGTCGTACAAAGGGTCAACATTAATCAGACTGATTTGTAAGATGTCACACAATTTACAAGAGTTTTACTCCAGCTCTTTAATGATAATATAAAACATATATAAATAAAAATTATAGTAATTTCCTAAAGTCAAGCCTCTGAATCTAAGTTGTTTGCTTGGACCGCTTGAAAGAAATAAGATGATGATTTTTCTATGTCGAGGTTGCAACATGCGACTTTCAATTGCCTCTAGGGTGAGTCAATTACGTGCATGGTGCAACCCTTGCCTCTTCCCCGCCTTTTGTTTGGCCTTTGATATGGTCAGAAAACCGTGATGGGATAAAGCTTTCTGACAAAATCAGGCTGATCCGTTCGACCTACTACACGCAGTATCCTGCTCTGGTATTTTTGCTCTGTCTTTAGCGCTTACTCCACATACGGCGCTTTCTTAAACCATTGTCATGTGGCTTCACGGAAGAGTAGTTAATCCGTTCCTTTAAGCCAGTGGCCAGCTTTTCTCTTCATGCAAGTCTCAGAATTGCATTGCATCCAACCCCACCATTCATTCAATCGTCACATCAAGAGCAACATCACCACCACGCACACAGTCCAAGCGTGTCTCGATAAGACATTGACTCTGTTCTTCATCACAAACCGTCCAAAAATCTTCGCCTCCCCATCGTTGAAATCACTGAGCCAAGAGCCCCCCCCTCCAAATACCGTCAACATGCCACCTAAAAGAGGTGATTCCCTGGGCGGCATCCTCATCTTCGGCACGCTCTACGCTGTCGCTGCGACAGGCATCGCAAGCCTATTTCCTCAAAATGATGATAAGAAAGATGCTAAGGAAGAGACCAAACAAGATGAGAAATCTTGGCTACAAAGAAATACCCGAGTTAAGGAACGGGGCTATTATATCCGCCAGGCTCTAGAGGAATTCAAGGACAACGAGAACACTGAACCAAGAAAACTAAGAAAAGCAGAATCTCCCCCATTAACTGAGCAAGATCGCTTGCAAGGAGAGAGCTTGTTGAAGCGCTCAGGTAATTGAGTAGTTGCGCGGGATAATACAACGAACAACTTGAATTCCGATCCCTTTCGGACACCGCGGCTCTCAGGTGCGTGTGATGCCTTGGCAAATCGACTTGTGAGTAGAACTGAAGGCGAGTTTTACGTATATGGGTGAGAACGCGGCGCCGTGACAGTGGCAGATAGCTCGTTGAGATGGTAGGGTCCCTGATTAAACCCGCGAACATGTCATGGTCCTTGTCTCTTTCTCACAATCTTAGGCCGAAACAGCTGGCTTGATGTCCTTTGCTGATCCATGTCCAATGAACACGCACCCAAAAACTCTTTATCTGGCTTTCAATGCACTGTCACGGAACAATTGATTAGAGACAAAGAATCCTACTCGCGTATTTCATGAACAGAAATAAGAGCAAGAATGATGGCGGGACTGATAAAGATGGGAAATATCAGTCCCCAGCCAATTCTCAACCTTCCAACTTCCCCAACTTGCTATCCGACACCATTATGAATTGCAACACAGATCCCTATCTGCTAGGCCGACAGTTCCAGCGGTTCCGTCAAGACAACCCAGACAACTCGAGCGAATTCATCTGGACCGAATACGATCTCTACTACTTCAAATTCTGCCCACTCTCAGCCTCTGTACAAAGCGAGGAGAGATACCCTCTCGAATGGCGACTTGATGCCCTGCGCTTGCGATCCAGCCGCGCCCAATGGAGGAGTCTGATGGCGGATCAACATCCCTATGACGATGCCATGGAAGAGTGGCTTTCGAACTGGCGACAGCCCACCATTGAGAAGTGGCGTCAAGACAAGGCTACGAATGAGAAAGGGTTTTGGAAGCGGTTTTGGGGGTAAATAAACATCGGCTTTGCAGGGTTCGACGTGAGCGACATGACCTGGGAAGCTTCCGTGATAGGCAAAATACTACCTGGAGTGTATTTCGGAGACGTGGAGGGTAAAGATGATCTGACTGGGAACTGGCACCTATTGCGCGCTATTCTCAAGTTATCTGCATTTTCGGGTGTGATCGAGTGATGGGCTCGTTGACTGTATCGATGAATAGATGAGAAATATCAGATAGAAAGAAGTAGGCAGAATGTTTCTATTACGATAATATGTTTAGTCTTATGTTCCTGACGTGTATGAAATATTCTATATGTAAGAATACTTAAAAAGAAAAGCCAGGCTAAAATAAAAAGCACCAATATTCAGATATCCGTCGCAATAACCAAACACCGCAGTATTTTAAGCAGTAAGAGAACCGCGCTTTCAGCAAAACACAGATAGTACAGAAAGCGTCAAGACCCCCAATCTTCCAACCTCCTCTATTCGCAACCCTGGTCGATACTTACCTACTTCTTGATCAAGTGATCAAAGAGTCGACCTACGCCACAGATGACGGCGCAAGGCACAATGGAGAAAAAGACAACCTACCCCATGTCAGAAGTGCCCCAGTACCCATTACCTGGCGTAGTGCTTGAGGAAGCCTTTAACTTGAGCACTTTGAAGTAGTACTGCAGGAACACCTGACTGAACTTGAAGTGCAGAGAGAGAACGTAATCATACCGGTGTTTCCAAGCTAGCAGTTTCATAATGTCGGCACTGCTGACAATATTGAACCACTCGATTGCGATGTAGATGAGAACGGCGCTGAGCCAAATGAAGCAGAGAAGATACCGGCGGTGACAAAGCTTGGTATGCTTCAATGTTGGCTTGGAATCATTAACTGATGGACTCGCGAGAAATGGTGGCGTCGCACCTGGCGAGGATGGAGACGACAACGGAATAGTGAACTAGCCATCTTTTTCCGTGTTATCGTACTGCGGCTTGTTTGCGAGGTGAGTTGGGTCGGGATAGGATTCGGCTTGATTGCCGTTTTCGCGGGGTTTTGAGTCTTTACAATGTGACATTTTGACTGACGATGTAGTTTCAAGCGTGATGATAGGTTGAGATCTCAAATTAGCCTGGTCCATTATCACCTAAAAATAGCCCGACAGCAAAACAAAGACGATTAGCTTAAGTTAAATGCCCCAGACTCAAAGACCAATGGTTCATTTAATGTGACAGATTGGTTAATACCAGCTATCTACGACCTAATCTATAATTAAGAATCTCATAACTAGTCATGACATATTTACCAAGTTTAATGAATTTGTCTACTTTTCCTCCTAGAAAAAAGTCTTACTTACCAGCTTATCTTCTAGCTATAATAAGAACTTAATGCCAAAAATAAAGCAATTCCTATCTCAGCACCGTTTCTTACGCCCAGACTTCGATCCTTCGTCCGACTTATCGGAATTAACACGAGTCCGGCCTTTTAATAACTCCTCTGTCTGTTCAAGCTGAGCTTTGAGAAGTCTTTCTGCGTCTTCCTCTTCTTTCTCGGCATTTTCCTTTTGCTCCTTCTTTTCAGCTAATACATTATTAGTTAGTTATCTAGAAACTTTGAGGTTGAGAGTGACGGGAAGGTATGTACCTTTTGACTTGTGTCTCCCAATCAAGAAGAAAGCCGACTTCTTCACCTCGCTCTGCCACTGTTTCGATCCAATCAGAACGTCGAAGGGAGCGTCCTTGACAATTACAAAATCGCTCTCCCGCTGCTTCATGTCATTAGGCTTATGCCAGGAAAGCCTGATCTCTTGCGTCGGGGTGAATTTGAAATCGTTTAGCATATGTAGTGTGCGCTCCTCTCTCGTCTCTTCCGGAATTGTTGTGATTGTCGTGGGGTCGATCTCGTGCCTCTGCAGTAGTTCCGCATTGACAAAGTTCTCGTCGCTGCCTGTGTCAATCTTGTTGCGTACTGTCACGAACCGAAAGCTCTCGGCGCCGTTTGGTACTACAAGGACCAGACTCCGAGTAAAGTCATTTGCGATGAGCTCTTGAACCTCTGACACGAAGGCGACTCGTCGATCCACGTGCTGCTTGACTGGTCTGGTATCATCTGGCAACTCCAAAGCCTTTGTCATGGGCCCAGCTATGGGGGCGTAGCTGCCATCGCGATATCCAGTAAAAGAATTGTCATCATTCTCAGAGATGATTTGCGCCATGGCCAGGCTGGAGAGTAGGTTTCAGTGGCTTGAACGGCTTGTAATAGACTGGAAAAACTAACCTCATATGTAAGAACTGCTGATCCATCCGGAGGCTGTATGTAGGTTAGCATGCAGCATAAGTAAGCTATTGTGAATTCTCACATACGTCGATGAGAGATCTCTGAGTAGAAGGACAGAATCTCGAAATGAGTTGTAGGTCACCATCAATTCCGGTTCTTTCAGCGTAATTCTTGCATATCGAAACCACTCATGTCGTCTTGGGTGAATCAAGCGGTCTAGGATATACAACAATTCTCTTTGTCTCTCAATGCAAATTTCAGCACAGGTCCTGATAGAATGCGGCAATGGCTCAACATTGGATAAAGTTTCGCCGCATTCCTGCAAGATATGCTGTAGGATCACAACTTCGAGATTCAGTCTGCGCACGGTCTCGCCACTCTTCACGAAGTTCTGAACTAGTAAAAGACTGGATGTTGAGAACGAAAAGAGTGACGCGGCGATGGCCACCGCAGAGATGGGATCCATTGTTGTTGGTGCCGCTGAGTGGGCGAGAAAGAGCGAAGTCGGGCTATGCACAGGAATGATCTAAATATTACAATTCTGCTGACCTTCCCTCCCAGGATGATTGAAAGTCACCAGGCAGAAAAGTGCAGATGGCGCCCAATAGCTGTTTGACTACAAGTCACGTTACAGTAAGCTGAAACATCTATAAAAAATGCGGGGCGTACATGTGCGAAGACTGTCCAATGAATGTCAGACAATAGGTCGCCGTGAGGTCAGCTGGCCGTGGGCTGCATGTGGCGCAGTTGAATACGACAGCCTGCTTTTCAGCCGCAAATGTCTCTTGCTTCTTTACCTGGATTATCTCCAAACTAATTTCAAGATTATTTGGCGACGGAATATCAACTATGGCATCCCCGAATGAGTTGCCCATGGATCAGCTCCATCCCGGGCAAGGGCAAAGCTGGAGTAAGACTTTCGGAAATGGCTCGATACAGAAGTATCACCGACTGGCGAATATAATGAGCCAGGATAAACATTTCGCTATTTTCAGACGATTCGATGATATTAACCTTGCTGTCCTTTTGGCCCTCCAGGCGGAGATAGTGGATCTTCAATATCATTTGCAGGTTCAAAGCCAAAAGGACAATAGTGGTCAAGGCCAGCGGGACCTCTTGACGAAACTGCAACCAAAGCTCACGGAGTATAGTAAGTATATTGAATTGAAGCACTAAGCAACTTACTAATATCTGTCTTCTACTTCATAGATAACCTGATCCTTCAGCGTAGGTCTTGTCCTACCGGATATCCATATTCAAAGGTGTATTAACCTATATTTAGTGTCGGAGTTATCTCAACTGCAGACCCCAAGGACATCGCAACTAGAGACTCTCCAAGACTGGCTAACGGACTCCAAAGGAGGTGCTAACTTCCTCGCGAAATCCGGTACCCCGGAACTTTACACCTGGAAACCAAAGGACCCGTCTCAGTATGTTTCCTTACACAAGACGGCTGAGGACTCTGATCCATTTACCAACTTTGTAAAAGAGGTCCTTACATTCATCTTCCACCGGTTGTGTGGCGAGAGACTCAATGCTGCCAGGGTAGTTGACGTCGAGTCCGGGTTGGCCTCATACTCCGATTCCAGCCTCGTGAGAGCAAGCAATCTATTCACGGTTATTGTGTCGTCAGCACTGCCAGTTCTTACGATATTTGCACTCAATAGCCTTGAGACAACAGCTCAGAGGATTGGCCTCACTGTGGTCTTTACTGTTCTTTTTGCGGTCATCCTGGAGCTGTTCACAAACGCAAAGAGGGTTGAAATTTTTGCCGCAACGGCTACGTGAGTGTCTCATATTTACTGATATTCAAGATACTAATCATTTGTATAGATTTGCTGCTGTTGAAGTGGTATTCATTGGGAGTGCATTAAATAGCAAGTAAAGAATTCCAAGCTAGGACGGGAAAGGGGTGTCTGCTAGCCTTTCAGAAATCGCCATGGCGCATTTGTTGTAGTGCAATGGAGATGTACCTTGGCGTCGGCTGTGATCGACGTGTAGGAAAACCAACGTCATGTTCAGCATCACATCCGTTTTAGCTATCTGTTTAAGGTTCTGGTATGTACTTACCGGGGCGAAAGAGTACATGCTTGTCAAGACAGACAACTGCAGGCACAAAAGCTTGATTCTGACCCCTGCAAAACTCAATCGGGTCCAAGATAATCTAAGCCCAGACAGGCAAGGCCTTACCCCTCAGTTCAGCTACTCCACAAGGCTGCAGACTAGTAAGATGGCTTACCCGTCACACATCAAAGTGGGCCGGCGCAGCCATAAAGTCAGTAGCATCCCTGCATCCAACACTCAAGTTTGATTTCATATCCAGGCGGTGCTCAACGGCTGAGAAAGTTGTGATTTTACTCAATACCAGGCCCAGTTCTCCTTGGCCTGGGGATAGAGGATGACTACGGCTGTAAGATCTGTATGCCATTCCTTGTTCAGCTCTATCGTGGCCGAGGTTGGGGCTCCGTGCCAACAACGATCCTAGCACTTTGAAGGGTTGTAAGTGATCTTACCCTCTTAAATCTCGCTTCTACGTAGAGGATAGATTAGGTGGCGCGCTGAGAGCCGAATCTAGTTAGAGCCGTGTCTTGCCGTACTGCTGGAATTAGTTTATTCTTTTTGTCGCCTTCCACAGGCTATTTGATATGTGATATTCGTTCATCAAGTGACAACCGTACTTGAGCCATTTTAACCTGTCGCTGACTAGATCCTTTGCGGTCTCATTGTGGATTTCTTTGCTGCCACCTTTGCCTCTTTTTCTTCATATACACTTGTTCTTTTAAAGCAGGCGCCTCCCATCACCTTTTCAAACACAATAGCCTCCTTCAGAGTTTGCATAAGATTACGGCAGGTACTTACAACTTCAATCTTAAATTAAATGTGTCTTCTCAATCTGAATCATGTTCGCTAACTGATTATGGTTCCAGATCATGGCTGTCCTTCCATCTGCACCTGGCCGTCCTATAAGTAGGCAGCGTAGAATTATTATTGTGATCTGCTGAGTGTAAGCCGTAATTCGTCTCGATCTCCCGTAATGAAGTCTCCGGATTTCTGGAGACTTGTAGGGGTTGTGGGGTTTTTTGATGTGCCGACTCTGAGCGGACGGTGCAGGGTAGTCGAGTTGGACTTGGTGGAATTCTCGTCGGCGAAGATGAAGCAACAGAGCATGTTTTCCCATATGGCCCTACCACCCGACAAACTCGCTACGCAACTCTTCCAGCGACTGACTGCTTAATGGAGCCAAGAACTGGTCAAGCCTACTCGTTGGAAGTCACTGCCTTGCCTGAGCTTGAATTTCCTCTTGGCCACGGTATCCTTGTCAGAATGGTCTTTGTGGATGGAGCCGAGTTGGACACTGGGATGATCGACAAGGGGAACGTATATGAGACAAGCTGGTCAGACTACATAGCGCGCCGTCGAGTCACTATACCGGATGGCACCACCAAGGTTGAGTCGTTGGTGTTCGCCGACTTGTCGCAAGGTATGTTTATCGAGGAATTATTTGTAGAGTGTTCTTACATGTCTTCGTGGAGAATGCATCGGAAGAGAAGTTTGAATCGGATATGGAGAAAATGGGAGACATGGGCATCATCAAGGACGTTTTAGGTTTTGCTACCAAATTCGAAGACACGAGCCCTACGCTCTGCGATGCACCCGTTGAGGAGGCGGGCCTGTTGGAGATTTGTCAAAAGGGAATGATCTTTCAAGGCCAGAACTTGACGCATGGCACTAAGTATGTTTGGTCGTCATAAACTTAGGACTACATTACTGATGTTCCAAAGGTTCAAGACGGTCACCACTCACCAGGACGCTGTCAAAGTTGACGATATTTACACCGATGGTATGGATAACATTAGTGTTTTCTACTTCCACTACCACTCTAACAGTAGTTCAAGTCATTTATTTAATGCTTGCGATGGTCTTACCGCTGAATTGTCTCGTTCAGTTGAAGCCGAGACGCGTTTGTCTTATCCTGCCGTTAAGGACGAACAGATCAATCTGACCGATGAAGATTGATAGCCTCAGTAACTAGGTGGAACTCTCCGTGGCTGCCTGAGAGAGGGGTGAAGAGTCACTGCTACTTTGAGATTATGAGGTAACAACCAAATTGGAATTGTTGGCGGACCTGGATAGTTGGCAACGTCATGATCTTGGATAGGACTACGCTTTAAAATCACATTCTCATCGGATTTACTACGATCGTCACAACCAATCTTGAACTCCGAAGCTTCGACTTGTGAGATAAGATCAAATGGCGGGAAGAGTTTGAGGACCTCGTTCAGAATGGAGATAAGCAAAGATCTGTCTGTCAGCTACAGCTATTAACCAGCGTATGATGCTTGTAGACGACGGTGTTAGATCTGATGTGACTGGTTTCAGTAACAATAGAGCACCGGAAATGTCACCATTCGAGATCGCTGTTTCTGGTAAACGACTGTTTTAGATGCGAATTTTACTATCCGATTATTTGCATATAATGGCAAAGGTAATCTCGATTTCATCATGACCCTCTTAGGAATCATCGTAACATTCCAGGACGAAAACGTGTTGCGCTTATATCAAGGTCGGTCACTATATATAGGATTGAAACAAACCGATCCTGGGCCTTCTCATGATCTAGATTGAACAAGCACGAACCTCTGAACTGTTTGTCCCAGCTTGACCTCGGTTGATGCTGTACGATCTAAGGTACCAGCGCCGGTTGAAAACATTACAGCTCGCCAAACTGAGGATCTCCGGAATGCACCAGGTCAATCTGATGTAATCCTGCTACTCCAGAAGAAATAAATAGGCACAGTTGATAGCAGCGAAAGTGATTGAATCACAAGCCAATTAGACCTGGCAGGAGTCCTGTCGCCATTCGTCAATTGACAATTGTCTACTTGATCTCCCCGACCTCTGGAGTGATTCCAAAACGCGTTAATAACGTGCTGTCGCGTCTGGCGATAGTCAAGAATGCAAGTGGTAATGAACTGACCGCTTCTTCTCGGTTCTCGCTTGTTGTCCTCAGACACGTATGAGTGCATAAAAGTGGATGTGGGGACGATAATGATTGGAGGCCAAGTGCGCCATGTGGTGATAGTGGGGGGCTTGAACTTCATACCCGAGATCCCAACGGGCATCAATCTCAAAATAATCCCCTTTTGCTTTCTTTCTCAGCATAGTCCTTTCAACTTATCGCGAAATCATCCTTTGCAGTCTGCGAGACTGGACCAAACCACAGCATGGACAGCTCGCCCCGGCCGCCCCCCCAACGGCGCCACGACCTCGCCGTCGTCAAACAGCAGCTCGTCATCGTTGTCTCCGTCGCAGCAACAGTCTTCGTTCTATGTCCAGAATGGCTACAGTTCTACAGAAACCTCGCCGTCATTCCTCTTCTAGCATGGCTGACGGCCAAAGGCTTCGACCTGGTCATCATGCTGAATGATAAATGGGACAATGCACCAGCCATGGTCAAGTACTTTGTTCCCATCGACTTTCCCCAGATTACACCTCCGTTTGAGAAAATGAGAAGCTTGGGGAATAGACAGTTGGCAGTTGCGAGGACAAAGTTTCGGCATTTCTCTTCGGAGGTGAGAGCGGTGGTTGTCGCTCTGATGAATTTGGTCTTGGCGCAGATTAGTGGCGGTGAGTCAGCTTGAGCATCAAAGCAGAGCCCGAGCTTAACATATGCATCTAGGTCAATCTGGAGTCGACTCACCAGTTTCTGAGGAGAAGAAAGCGAAGCCTGCGCCGAAGCCAGATGAATGGGTAGCGATTCTAGTCACAACGCCGCTCATCAACGACGACACCGGCATCGATTTCGGCACGAATACCATCGTCGAAATTGGCGAAGTCATTACCTGGGAACATACGCAGACAACATCGCTTCCGGCCATTCTTCCTTCGTCCACATTCCAGGTTCAGATGACTGTTTGTCTGATTCCCAGGAGTATCTGGTACTCCCGCAAGACTGTCCTCGAGAAGTTTACAACTGGGCTTTACTGGAACCACCAGCCGGGGCAGTCAGTATGTGGAGGAGAGCAATGGGATGAAGATAGGATTCGAAGCATCTCGAAAGTACAAGTCATTGGAAACGTGGAAAAGCACAGCAGCATTGAGAAGGTCAACAAATGTAAGTGCTTTGTTGGCTTACGGTGCTTGAGAATATTACTAACCTCCTAATTGCAGGCTTCGAGTCCCTTCGGCAAGAATGGAACGATGTCAACATATACTGGAGCGATATTGACTTTGCCATCATCTTCGCCTTCCTCCTCGTCGGCACCTCTTCCATCGAGATATGCAAAAAACTCTTTGATCGATTCTCTAACCTCCGTGTTGAAAAGGCCAGTCGGAATAAGGAACTTAACCGGACGCGCTTGGGAGCTGGTGCAGCCGTCTTGACTTTGTTGACCGGAGGATTGGCTGCTCCTATCACGATACCCATGATGATGGGCGCCGAGATGACAATGTCAACACACGATCGATACCTGTGGGGAGAAAGAACGAGAATGTGTAAAGAGCTCTTGGGAAGATATGAGCAGCTGGAGGCAATTGTTGAAGTGGAAGAGATAAAGGTTCCAAAAGCTATTGACCCGACGCCTTTTTTCTCACCTAAGACTATGGAGTCGAGCTGGTTTGTCGATGATACTTGGTGATGGGAGGTTTATGGCATTTGAAGGCGTTATGGATAGGGAAACAGAGATACAGATACAGAGAGATTAAGTGCTTAGATTATTCAGACATTTGCTTCACATTGAAATGCTAGAGTCCCTGATAAAAATAAACAAAGAAGTCTCGAGTCTTTTGAGCAAAGGATGGCTTTATGGAAATCTTGATCGACCGCAGGACCAAAAGAAGACCATCTAGCCCTCATTTCCCCACAAGCGTCATATTACATCAGGCCTGGAGCAAGATCCCTTTGTCATAACACTGCTGTCCCATCTCACACCTCGGACTCTAGACCAATCATGCAACTTCCAACATCAAGCAACGGCTGACTCGGCCGAGGGTAAGTGTGATCGAAAGTCTGTCCCTTGGGGTATTACTAACTCCGGCTGTTATTTGTATCACCGGACTATACTGGTAGTTAAAAGGCCAACCTCTATTGAACGTCATGAGATCTATTCTATCAAGTACCAAGGCTGTTTCCCAGATAGGACAAAAGAAAATAGGAAATAAAATAGAGAAATCAGTAACCGGCTTAGCCAAGGAGATCCATCACTCACTTACATCCAACAACTCATTTCACCTTCATCTTCCCTTACCATACTATCGGCCCATTGACCATTCTCTACTGGTTGCCAATATATGTGTCTTAAACCTCTTCATTCAACATGTGTTTCACCTTTGGGAGTGAGAGGATATGGATCATATCATCTGCAAACCTGTCGATGAATCTAGATTGGAAGAAGAACTGAGCCCCAGGAGAATCTGCAAAATCAGCAAGGTTACTCCACCAAGAGTACGGGTAACATACGACAAGATAGATAAAAGAAGAAGAGGTTTCCGAGGTGCTGCTCGTCATCAACAGTGGTGTATGTCATTTGACGAGTTTCATCTGTCTTGGTGTATCTGCAACACGTTAGCTAACTTGTGTCATTCTTTTCTTACAAGCACAAGCATACGTGGTCCCATGGATTTGGCCATGCCCATTGAGTAGAAGCGCCTTGTTGTCGATGGCGAGAGACTCGTTTCTCTTATCGTCAGAGAAGTCATCATTGCCCATCGGAACAGGGGCGATTTGCTTCCCAACCTCAATAGCGACTTGGATAGTCCCCAAGGCCTTGATGCGCTCCAGATCAGTGTTGACAGACTCGCTATCAGCCTCATCCACTGTGTTAATGTTAGTTATCTGATAACTAATGAAGGTCGCGGTGGACTTACCAGGTCTGATGTCCCCAAAGACTGGCCTATATGACTTGGACGAGCCATCCGAAAAGTCGCGCTGACAATACGAAATCTCGCCAACGTACTCTATGCCAAGATTTGATGCACCAGCGAGCGTGCTTTTTCGGATACACTTGTTATCGAAAGGCTTGCCATCGACATAGACGGAGATGGTGACAGCATCAGTGTCATTGGGGAATGTGAAGACAGAAGAGATCCTGAAGCGAATGGCATAAGGACTTCCAGCTTGAGACTTGACGTAGCATTTGGTGTGGGGGATGCCTTGATTCATGGTTGCGTCAAAGGGTTCAGGGAACTCCCAGGGTTGGTACTCCTTGGCCGGCTCACCATCCACAAGAACGGCGACGTTTATGCCTGGGGTAAAGGGAAGGATCGCCATTGTAGTAACTTGTAAGTGGGAGGCGTTGTGTGAGGAAAGGTGTATATGATAAGGAGTTGGGTCTTGAATAGAAGTAAATGTGTGTAAAGGCTCCGCGATGGGCAAGGGAAGACAGGAAAGCGGAAGCCAATGGGTAGGGCAATGTTAAGGCGCAACGGTTTCTACGAAGGGCAAGCTTCTGGAAGGGAGGGAAGAACCTTAAGAGAGGGAATGACTAGCTCATATTCATGGGCCACAGAGAACCGTTACGTCAGATGCCGTCCCCTGGTTCATTTGGCTTCCCTGCATGGAACATGTCTAAAGCTTGGGGCACGCGCAGAAGCAATATGTGGCTTTCTGCTACCAGTTATCGTAAGCATTCTGCAAGCTTCAAGCCAAGCGACGGCTTCTGCTGAAGGAACTAGATGGTGGCTTGCCCATTGGTTCCTGCAACAGCTGAAGCATGCGCGTCGACAAAGAAGACGGCCTGGGCATAGGCCGGTGAATTAGTTGGTCTTGGAACTGATAATTGTGAACGAGAGCTTGCGCGGCCACACCACGCCACGATTGAAGTCATTGATAGACCATACCAGGGGGTGAAGAAGAAGTGACATTATGTGGCTTGCAGCAGACGGCTGTTGCAGGGATCTTGGCAAGGTCAAGGTCAAAGCACCGATTTGTGTGAAGGAAGCGATGTTCGTTATCTTGCTTCTAAGATCTTGCATGACGGCAGCTACGATATCAGAAAATTGAGAGGATTCATATACGAGTTGATGTATTATTTTACCTGAGACTAATCCTGGGGAGTGGTAATTTTTGAACTTGCTGTTATCACAACTAATGGGACTAAATAGGGAAGCACGGTCTATTTCACTCCATACAAGCAAAGTTCCTACAGCCAGCACCATAAGAAACAGTCTGTAACTGTTTATCAGGCACCAATGCATCAGTCCATGTGTTCCTGGCGTTGAAGTGCACTACGTACTGTATGTCCCCGGGATCCGATTACCAGCCAATCACATTTACCTCCACACACATCAAGACAGTAGCCCAGTTCAATGTACAGTGCGACAACAACAGAGCGCCAAGATTGACAGATCAGAAACGCGGCCCGGCAAACAGCAGTCAACATATTATGGCGGTCTTGACTAGTCTCGCTTAGCCCAACAAAACCAACCACAATAGCAAGCGGTCCCTGAATTTTACGTTATGAATGAGATTGGCTGCAGGACCCTCAAGACCGGCCAACCAGTATGGTCAGAGAATTTGGTGGGATGTCTGCACAGACCTTGCCATAAAAGAACCGCCAAGTGTGCAGTTAATAAGGACCCTAGCTAGTCGAATGTGGCTGCATGCAACTTAGACTGCGCAGAATGGAAGAGCAAGAAGCTATTTACGTCACTTAAGTCAACAGCTGTTCTTCGCGGCAGACGATCAGGAGTGCCTTCTGAAGCTTCTGGTGAAGCAAAAACACTTTACTACTGGACAAAGATAGTCATTCAATCAACGAAAGTGAAGTGATAAGATCAAAGTACCATTTTTGTCAGGCCTGTGAGCTCAATTCACGTATTTTACACAAAGGCAATATATTCACGGAAAGACAAAGACTGGTAGATTCCAATTGATAGTATATAAAGTTCAAATCGAATAAATTCTTGAGAGTCCCAACTCAGTCACTTCCACTACAACAACACCGACAACATCCTTTGCGAATTATCTGGCAATCATGACTTACAACTCAGAAAAGAACACTCGCCTTCGAGCTCGACAGCTACAGCTCCTCTATGTGCTGCACACACAAGTCCCAGAGCTTTACGCAGACCAAATCACTAGTGAAGACATTGCCCTGGCCAATGCGCTTGAACCCTGCTGGACTCACAGCCTTGCCTTGCCCAAGCACGTTCTCACCTATCTTTACGAGTGGGTTACCAAGAAGGGATCTCTTGCTGCTGTGCTTCGCAGCTTCCGTGTAAATGCCACAGAGCTCCCCGATGCTCAGCCCCCGTTTGACGAATCGGATGTCGAGATGTAAACGTTAAGGCCTGACATAAACGGTGAGATATAACGTTTCAAGAAGAAAAAAGAGGATCAAGTCCCGGGATGAGCCAAATCAGGCTTTGAGATGAAACGAACTTTGACGAGATGGTCAAGGAGCATATGCACAACTCATTCCCCTATTTGAGTAAGCTCAACTAAATCTCGAAATAACTTATAACTAACCAGTTTCGCAACAGTGCTTGGTTCAATTACAGTCAATGAAGTAAGTAGGTCTTGGATAGAGTTCATGGCTGGTGAACTTAATGGGCTGTCCGAGGATTAATTGGATTCGGGTTAGATCTTGATCCAGTCGCCCTGATGCAGCTTCTGGCTGGCTCGCTAAGATGGTCTTAACAACATCACAGCGTGACCTCGCCCGTAGTACAGGTAGCAACATCGATTATCTGTAAGCAGAATATTGAGGTCTCGACTAATGATCAACATTGATCAATTCTGTGAAGGATAATTGTTCGTCTGACTGGCATGACATTGGTCCTTGGTGACGGTTTGAACTCGTTCATGATCGAACACCCGAGTAGAATGTCATTGAGCGGATATAATGATGCTGTGTTCAGGTACGTGTTCTTGACTCGCTGAGAGGCCCTGCTGCAGCGCGAACAAACATGTGAGAAAACCGGCAATGATTATAATTCTACGACAGAACAGGGAGTACGTTCGTACACCAGGCAAGAAAATATCAGCATCTACAAGTATTAAAGAAGCAGCGCAAAGCTTGGATATACTCCTCATGCACAATTTCAACAGAACCTTTCAGTAAGTCCTCTAAGATAAGACAGTCGCCTCACCCTTTTCCCAATTGCACTTAGCAGCCGCTGTGATGGAGTTTCCCAGAAGCCTCGACGTCTACAGAGACGACAATCTCATCATCCAGGATTATGACGGTATATTTGCTCTCCCACGTCCGCTGCCACCTCTTTCCACTGACACACTTGTCAAATGCATCTTCGACGCCTACAGGAACAGTATCAAGGTGCGCCTCATGGCTCTCACCGACATCACCCCCTGCCTTTGTATAGTGGGCCCGATTGAGAGTATTGAAGCTGGTATGGTGGCGATGGTGGTCACTTCGGAAGTGGAGTACTACAAGTTGCTGAGGAGCAATCCTGGAGACAGTCAGCCAAGATCAGACGCTTTGTCGATTTTTTCCTTGTACAAGGATTCGTTTAATTTGATCGAGAATGCCGGGACTGTTATTCTGGCCTGGAGATTCTATGGAGTTGATGATTCTCCTTTCATGGATCGCCAAGGTAAGGTGTTGCCTCTCAGAGCCAATACACATCCTGACCTCTCTTATCCATCCCTGCAGTCTTCGACTCCACAGGGTGGGAACAGCGATGCAGCTGAAATCAAGACTATCCGACTCGAATTAGTACAAGCAAGAGCAGAGGCGCTGAACAACAGGATACTCAATGAGTACATGCAGGCGAAGTGGTTGACAACCATTCGTGATGCCGAAGACCAAGTAAGCGAGAGACGTACCGCCGAGCTGATCAAGAAGTGCATCGCGAAAAGGTTTGAACAGGCACAGAAGAAAGAGGGGAAGCCGCAAAAGATTGTTAGGTTGGCTACGGAGAAGCACATTGACAGCAAGGCGGAAGAGATGACCAAGGATAAGGATGAAGAAGCAACGAGACCGTTTACAAAGTATGACTATGAGGTTTTCGTCCGGGCTTTTTTTGATGCTATTCACGCGATCCAGAAGGATGAGGAGAAAGTGGTGAAAGGAAAGTAAGTGTGACAGAACAACGTGGTATATCAGAGGATTGGATGGTGGGCATTGTTGACGAAATGAGAAGGATTATGAGGATAAATTGCTCTACTTGATATTGAAGGTGTGAGGGATTTCTCTTGAACAGAAATACTTGTGGACTTGGGGGGCATAGAGCCGGCCTTCCGTGGGAGTAGGCCCAATATCAGACAATGTATTTGTAGCATGTAAGAATAGATATTCATGTAAGAAGTTCCGCGTTGGTACTGTTAAAGGAATGGGTATAGGACACGTACGCGATTCCTTGAAGAAATGGACTCTTGAAAAGTTCCAGCGATCTACAGGGTAGTCTATATACCATTAAATTAATCATGCCACATCTATCTCACAGATGTCAGGTGTACAGCATGAGCGCCGCACTTTGAATCACGGCTTATTTGCTGTCAGACACGACCATTGTTGGCACTACTCGTTAGTATCTGCTGGCTGATTAAACATTTACATCAGAGACATCGACCAGGAATTGACCAATTGAAGCTTTTTGTCTGAATTGAGAAGGGGGATAGGCGGCTGGATCTTGTCATGTGATCCATTGGACTGATTGGCTGAAAACCGCCCAGCTTTAGGATGAGAATGTCAACATGTCCTCAACCAATCTCCTTACCTCTCTACCCCTCTATAGCCCAACAAGATGGATATGGCTTCAGAGGAGCCAGCACCGCCTCATTGGAGCGTGATTGAATTCAGCTTCAGTAGCCAAGATACTGACTCGGAGTTGGTGGTAATGTGCAACTACCGCCAGTTCATTATTTCCGCCTCCGTAGACAGCTTCTCCCAGTCTCCGGCCCTGAAAAGCAAATATTTGTTCTTTTTAGAAGTTGCCGATAACTACGAGCTCGATGGGTACACTCTTGAAGACCTTTACGACTGGATTATCGAACCACTTTTACCTAAATTCAGACAGCTGCCAGAGATAACTTCAACCTTGACACTACAACACTTTCTGTTCCCTGAGACGTACAGATATGACATCCGAGGGGATGGAGAACAGCTAGTTGTTATTCCGTCTAACGATAGCAGCGACATAACCCCCATATTCGGCATCCCACTACCAGAAGAGAAATGCGCGACTTGGCCTCATTATCATCCGAAGGACGTTCAACTGCCCGAGAAGAGGAAAACTCACGGACCACCATCATATACACCATCCAGAGTTATTTTAAAGAACGGAAAGAGCGCCTTTTTCAAGCCCATGAGGTGTGGAGACCAGAAATCATTTGTGAACGAGCTTGATAAATACAAGAGCATACGCGATGCCCACCTAGACGAGTCGCTTCTAACCTCACGACTCATTGGCCTGGTTCGAGATCAGACTGGCCAAGCTTTTGGCTTGCTCTTGAACTATATCGACTGCGGCCACAGAACCTTGCTCTGTGCAGCAAAACCGGATACATCGAGGGAGCTCAGACAAACATGGGCTCAGCAGGTCCACGACACGGTCCGGCAACTGCATGCTGCTGGTATTGTCTGGGGCGATGCGAAACCCGATAATGTCCTTGTCGACCAAAAGAACGACGCATGGCTGATTGACTTTGGTGGAGGGTATACGAATGGCTGGGTGCCTAAGGAGCTATCGGGTACTGTAGAGGGCGATTTGCAGGCGTTGAAGAAGATAAATGAGTTCTTGCTCCAGGGTAGTCTGTGAGTCACAGATTACGATCCACTGGTCGAGATCACAGTCTCTTTACTACAATTGGAAGGAATTCAGTACTAGACGTGTCGGACTCGTTATTGCTTTAGATTACTAACAGTTATCTACAAGATCGGAGACGGAGAGATTAGAAAGGCCGACCCACTGAGACGTAGTCCTACTCGCTTTTTGTCCCATTGCTTTCACTCATTCCAAAAAGTCATTCTTGGGATGAGATGAATATTTTTGTCAAAGCAATGCTCGGAGTCGGAAGATTATGTTTCGCGAATGCGGGGTTTGAGACTTCAACAATTGGTCAAGCAGTAGTCCGTCAGCACTAACTTCAATGCACCTTTGACAATCCCGTCCTTAAAAACTGTTGCCTTGATATAAATCCGTAAACTCCGACATCTTCGACTAATGATACAAAAAAGCGCCATCTGCATCTTAACAAAGGTGGGGTGAGCCCCATGAGCTTTCACTCAAACTACCACACAATCACACCATGCCGCCTGTTGAACGCGGTTGGATCACCTTCTTCGTCGACCGCGTCTTCGGCTGGTGGTCCGGCTTACCTAGAGAAACAAGCAGCTACACAACTGAATTCATCCAAATCCCAATCGGAGATGTAAAACTCGCTGCAAATCTATATCAACCAACCACTTCCCCTCGCGGCACGATTCTCATCCGTACGTCCTATGGTATCGCACCGCTCATGGCTCTTGGAAACGCACGTATGTTCGCTTCGCGAGGTTACCAGATCTTACTCGCCGCTTGTAGAGGCACAGATCCTTCTGACGGTCAGGACGTCGTACCTGCAGTTCATGAAGCAGAAGATGGTCTTGCGACTGTTGCTTGGATGCGTGAACAGCCTTGGTATACGGGATCTTTTGCTACTTACGGGGGATCGTACCTTGGACATACCCAGTGGGCTATTCTGACCGATCCACCGCCGGATATGAAGGCTGCTATCATCAGTACTGGCCCAGTCGACTTTGGTGCCTTTACTTGGGGCACTGGAGCGATGGAAACACATATGATCGCCTGGGCAGCCTTGATGACTGCTCCGAAGCGGGGTATCACTCCTGGCTTGCCATATATCAGGAAGCTACCTCAAACACTGCAGCCTGTGTACGATTCTCTGCCTCTCATAGATGGTATAAAGGACCATTTGCAGAATAAGGAGCCCCCGTGGCTGGAAGAATTAATCAGTCAAAGTAATACGTCCACTTCGTTTTGGTCGAGGGCTGATCAGAGTGTCGCACTGCAAAAGGCCAAGATTCCGATCTTGCAGTCTACAGGGTGGAACGATAGCGTTCTGCCGATGATTTTGAGCCAGCACAGCGGTTTAGTGGAACAAGGAGCACCCGCCTTTCTGACCATCGGTCCATGGTCACATCTTGGCTCACAACGAGGTCCAACGTTGATTGAAGGTTTACAGTTCTTTGATTACTATCTCGCCGGTCGCGGCACCGCTCCTAGAGCATCGCCATGTCGAGTTTTCGTTACAGGCTCGAATGAATGGCGAGATCAGAACAGCTGGCCACCGCTCGCTTCGTCCACGCGAGACTTCTTCTTATCACCCAAGACCCTCAGCAAAGAACAGCCTGAGCAGGCATCAAGTTCAAGTTTCACATTCAACCCCAATGACGCAACTCCTCCTATTGGTATGCCTCGGCCTTTCGACGATGTCCAGCCTACAAACTATAACGACACTGAGCTCGCACAACGCTCAGATGTTGCCGTCTTTGATACCCCACCACTCGAGAGTGATATAGAAGTCTACGGCAAACCATTGATCGAACTGCATCATTCCACCGATAATCCACACGCGGATATTCTAGTTCGACTTAGCGAAGTCGATAGCAGGGGAAAGTCTACCCGCATAAGTGATGTTTACAAAAGACTGGATCCTAAAAGAGGTCCTGAGCCGCTGAGTCTTGCGTTGGTGGATTGCGCGCATGTTTTCCACAAGAGAATGAAGATCCGTGTCATCATCGCTGGTGGTGCACATCCAGCTTATTTGCGCAACCTTGGAACGGGGGAAAACCAGGCATATGGGGCGACGACCAAACCGGCAGTTCACACGATTCATCATTCTAAAGACGCTGTGTCAAGACTGACTCTCCCTGTCAAGGCTCGAAATTAATCTTGCTTTTGACCTGGCTGTTCGCAACCGTGGCAATGGTAAAGCTGCAGTTGAAGGGCCGGCTCAAGCCGGATATCTCTACTCAAGAAGGACACCATCGGGGTATAAATGTGAGATCTGCAGGATCACCTGACTACGGAGAATGAAGATCGAAACTCGTGGCAGTAACTAGGACGACTATCCTTACTGGATTCTTTATAATAGGGGCATGAATATTTACAGAGATCTCCGGAATCGGTGCCAGGCGCAGTGAACTGGTGCTAGGAGTGGCTGGTGCGGTCATCTCAGGGCAGAGAGTATTTTGCAGATCTGCACGAATAGTAAGACATCTATCTAAAAAGGGCGACAAATTGACATCCTGCGAAATCTGAATGGATGGCCCAATTGTGGAGCAAATCAGTAAGTGACGTATATATTGCCAAATAATACACTTTGCACTATCGCACACTGGCACTGTAATTCATGTGATTTTGCCGATTAGCCGTTGAGCAAACCCTAATCCTTTTACCTATGACATAGTGCTCGTCATAAAAACCATATTCACGTCATTGCTGGCAGTTCTCAGCTGAAAGATTCCCAAGATAATAACTAGAGTCGTATATAAAACTTCGCAGAGTTTCTTCGGATTCATTTACTCTTGACCAGCACCAGACCTAGCGGTTAATCAACGCCCTTCTGGCAAGATAGAAACTCAAGAAAGACATCATGCCCGAGACAAAAGGCCAACGAGTAAGCATTTCCTTTAGATCCATTACTACCAACGTTCACCTTATTAATTAATTGCAGGAAAAGAAGGATCAGTCAGCGCTGCCGCCTCAACCCAAAGAAGCACACGAACATGAAGAGGTTTGTTTTCTCTATTTCCTGGAAGTCTTTACCTAAATCACAACTGACAGACTCAACAGCACCATCACGGTAAAGACTTTGCAAAAAGGGCCGGTCACGCAATCACTTTTGGCGCAGGTGCCACGATTGGATCAGACGCGGTAAATGGGATTATTAAAAACTTATGATAGCAGTTACTTTAACTCTATCAATCCACAACCCATCCGATAATATAGTCTAACTGTATCCAAGCGCCAAGAACCTGCAGTAATGGTTTAAAAAAGAGATAGTTATACTAAAGATTAATTAAAAATCTGCCAGCATCGAAACGTTAATAATTCAAATGTTTTATTATATCTACAAATACCGGATAGCTACAGTGATAGCGGTATCTCATCTACGCTCTTCAAGATCCGACTAGCTTCCGTCATGGGCTTCTTCTTTTTCGTCCTCACTCCATTCTCAAACCCTTCCCCCAAACTTATCGCCGCTCGCCTCGGTCTCGCAACACGAAGTCCAGAATCCCTCGTCATCTCAACGTCAGCTGCCCACTGCGCAACCTCCTCCTCTTCCGCCTTGATCTCTTGGTCCAATGTCCTTTCACAATGCGACCCAAATGCGAATATCCGCCCAAATGATGTAGGAAACACTTTGTGCAGAAATAGTCGAACTGTTGGCAAGCATGGGGCTGCGATACTGACAGAGCTTTCTATTCCGGCCCATACCATTAGGTCCATGTAGTCCCATGTTATGTTGTTGGAATGGCCGTAGAGAACGTTGTAGCGCATTTTGAGACAGCTTGCGATGAGGACGACAACTCCGAGACTGAACATCAACACGATGCCGAGCTTTCGACGGAAGGTTGATTTCGCTATCAATGTAAGCTTGCATCCTCTCAACATGTGGCTGGACATACTTTTCCATATGAGCGGTATTGGAAGCACTAGCACAACGACATCAAAGATGATATTGGTGATGTTGATTGACCATTGCAGTTTGTTCAAGTCCATGCACCAAAAGTCGACATCTTCTCCACCAAATCGATCCCAGTTCCATCGTATCGGTGTGCACTGGAAGATGTTCAGTGAAATGAACACTCCTGTGCTGAGACTGATGATGAGAATGCATGCCCAGCATAATTGGCAGAACAGCGTATAAACGTGGCACAGACGGATGTAGAACAGGATTATTGTGACTTTGGTCATTCCGAGAAGGAGACTGTAGACAGGACAGTCGATCCAGAAGAGCTGTTCAAGTTAGCTTTAAGCGACTGGCATAAGCAGGCAATGTATGATACCTTGAGTGCATGGGATAGATCATCGACGTTGACCCACCAAATATCCTGTCCAAATGCCGACATCAATGCTGCAATGCATTAGCCAGTTCCTCAGCATATGACTCGGTTCTTACCGTGGTGTCCAAGGCCAAAGTATACGGTGTAAATAACCAGAGAAATGAATGAAAGCCAATCTTCAGGCGAAATCTTTCGGACAATGAATAGCTTTGTGTAAACGCGAATAACTGCACAAAGGATGCAAAGAATGTGTATCGAAAGGTAAGGCCAGGCGTCATTCCGTCGATCTCGTAGTGGTCGCTCGCATATTTGGTCAAGATATCGCAACGAAGCTGGGACAGTCAATCTATGGTAGCCAGAATCCGATTTCAGTCGATTGCGTACCGAATACTTGTGGAACCTTGCAATGGCTCTTGAGGCAGGGTATCAACTTATTCTGAAAGGTAGTGGAGGTACAGAAGCAACTCGGCTCATTGCAGGCCGGGCTGATCAACGTTCGGAAGCAAATTTGCTACTCAAATCAGCAACAAGTATTACAAGGTGAACTTATCACAAACCGCGCATTCAGCAAGATTCGCGTCAAGAATTGAAGTGCTGCCCAGGCCAGTAAATTCAAACAAACTAACCAGCGCAGATAGCACGCCTGCCCTCATTGCAAGAGGCGCATCTCAAAACAGACATAGAGTTGAAGAGAACAAGCGAAGCTCAGAGGACCAGGGCCAGGGAATGGGGACACAAAAAGGGGAGAAGGCCGATGGAGATCGTTTTAGTGAGACAATCTTGATGCATGTGCTGGGTCCCAGGCTTCGGCAGTGGATTTTCCTGGGTGACGATCCTGGCCAAGCGTCTGTGCGAGCCGGTATCTGAGGATGAATAAATGTCTGAGCGTATCGGCAACAGAATGGCTATTGGAGCTTTAAAGTCCAAAAGGGTTCAACTATGCCTCTTGGCTCAGGATAGCTCAGGAACAATTTCTCACGAGCGATTCGTTTCATCAATTGCGATTGGTCGAGAAAGTTGCAGTGTCGATGAAACACTGAGTCGTGGCGTTGCTTGAGTTTGCACTTAAGACCGCTAGACCTACGCTAATGGGATAGCCCGAGTCATGACTATAATACTTCACGTGGGAATTACTCCGAAGCGCAAATCACTTGCATCATCATGGAGAAAGATTCTAGAGTAAAGAAATAGATACAGCCTTGGCTGTTTGGTCAAGTCTGTAATCTAATAAAGACATAATTAACGTGCCCTGAGCTATCCCTTGAAATACAGGTCTGAGCGGGTTATAACTACTGTAAAAGGTTCTGCTCTGCTGCTTCCATCTTCTCCCCCGCTTCAAAAACCGCCATATTTGCCTTCTCTATCTCATCATACCCGTGTTTCCTTTCACTAGCATCTTTAAAAGACGTTGAGATTGGCCGTTGCTAGCATGCTCGTGATCTTAACACTTGTGCAACTAATCTGAGTCGCGTAATGCGTTGGCTAAGTCCAGCTTTCCTTCCAGCATGGCGGCCTTGAGCTCGGGGTAGTTTGAGCTCCTCTATTCGGCAGAAAGGGACATCCTGTGAAGTAACCCTTCGGCTGCTGCAGACTGGCGAAGACGTAAAATCTTATCTTTGAGTTATTTCGGCTTCTTAGTATTACCTGCTGCATGTTTTTCTGCTGGGTGTTGGTCCTTCTCTCCGAGGTTGTAAGTTACCTCCCGATCCTTCACCTTCTTGTGTATAAAGCCGAGTTCTTTTACGTTTTCCAAGACAGTCCAGCGAGATCGTCGTAGTTGGTCTGTACTCCTCGAGGCAGCTTTGTATAGATGCTGCACTTCGTTAGAACGCCGCATGCAGAGCGGTAATTTTTCAATTTCTTGCTGTTTGAGTCTCTTCTTGAGTTCTAAATTCTGCTTTCGTAAGCCAGATATAGTACTGTCTTTAACAGTGTCTCCTCTTTTTTCCGGGCTCTTGAGAGGAGGGCGTTCTCTAATCGGCAGAGTGTTACCTGCACGATCCATAAAGGGCGACGTCTCCTCACGGTACGGCCGCCAGCCTAGAACTTCGTAGCCCGCTACTTTGACTGCACCGAAGGCATCAAGTGCACACTTATCATCGATTGGTTCACCAAACCGAGGACTTTCAACGGCAAAATCGTCGCGAAGGAGCAAATGATATCGAAGCCATGGAACGACAACAAATCCATATTAACCCTCGCGGATTGCGTCTAAATTACTGAACGCACCTTAGTCGGAGTAGCCCAAGCTAGGTGACATCTGCACAGCAAGCGCATCCCCGTCATTGGCGTATGCATCAAGCATGTATTTGAAAATGCAGTCACTTGAAAGGGATTCGCCGTGCTTGGTTCCGGTAACGGTAAGTCTTCCGGTAGATGTAGCTGCATCAACTTCATTTGCAGAGGAGTTCGGCGCAGGAGGTGATGTTGAGGGTTAATGAGCATTGCCATTATGGGCTGCGGAAACAACAGGCATTTCGGAGGAATCATAGGCGACAAATTTAAGAAAGGAGATGTGGCTATTGAGACTTCAATTGAGTGTGTTGATGAATTTGACGGTTTGCGTTGTTGTAGGGAGGCGACTGGATTGATCACAAGTGGCTGCTGGTTGCCCTTATATAGTCAATTCTTGAACAACCAAAACTCTACTCTATGAAGCACCGATGACTATATCAAAGGCCAATGTTCAAGAGTTAGTCCGGTGTTCAACCAACGACATGAGTATTCACATATGAACAAGCTGACATAATTTTCTTTAATTAATTTTGAATCACATAGTCAATCCCCGCTAAATTCAACGCAAAACTACCCAGAACCAGTGACATTAGATAAGGTACCAATTAAGTGGTCTAAAGATATACTAAGACACTGTAAACTTAACTAAACTTTTTTATCACTTAACTTAGAATATAGGTCGTAAGCTTTCTTACCTCTCCTTGCTGACATAACAACCCCCCCCCGCTACGGAACAGACGGCATTTCAATTATTGCGTACCATCTGAGCGAACATCAAATGAGATCTCAGTTATCTACAAACCATTCAGCACCACCATGACTGCATTGCCTGAGAACATTTCAGCATTCTTGAAATTATCTAATGAAATCTTGCTTACTGTATTTAGGCTATGCAAAAGCACAGAGCGAAAGCACCACAATGACACTATCTCCAGACTGAGATTAACCTGCCAGAGGTTTTGCCTGCTCTGCAGCGATTACGCTGTTCGTCGCTGCGGCACTTTAGATTTCAGCCGTCCAGAGAGTGTCAAGTTATTTCGACAAGTGCTTGAAAATCCTCGAATCGCAGAAGGAGTATGCGAAGTCAATGTGCGGTTGCATTTCTACCATCCATGGATTGCGGCCAGTCTTGACAACTTCACCGCAGCCACTTTGTCTGAATGGGGGCAACGAGCACACATTTTCGATGAGCCAATTGGCATCAACTCAGACGGACAAATGTCGTTTGAGTGCTTGATACAACGATTTGTCAACGACATACATATGCATAATGATGAGTCTGTAGAGCCATCTATATCGCGCAACAGGGCAGACGAGACAAGCTATCCAAAGGGTATCCTACAACATGCTTATGGAAAATACAAAGAAAGATACGATTCACAGATACTCTTGCATGGCGACGGCGCCTTTGCACTTGGGATAGCTGAGATCATGACGAGGCTGCCAAATATCCGGCATGTCACGCTCCATGACGGCGTTCTTGAAAACAACTATGATCTCGGCCGCAAGTTTGATCCAATTGACGAACAAGACACCTCAGCTCAAGCCGATATTCTAATCCAAGTCCTTTCTCGGCCTATGCTATGGGAGGAAGCACGTTGGATCCAGCCAAGCGAGTTCATCTGGCCTGGGGTTCCGACGAGATTACTCGTGGATATTCCCCTAGCACTGGGCGCAGTGGATTCACTGGTTATCGATCAACTCTCCATCCACGTATCAGCTGCGCCAGATTACACGACAATGCAACTCAGCAGAGATGACCGGGACAAGTTATCAGACGCCATCAAACGACTCGACCTGTTGCAGTTCAGCTTTTTGCCACGGTGCCGCAGCGGTTGTGGCCCGTGGATTAAGAATGGAGAGGAGAGCGATACGATCAGGACAGCGAGAGAGATGGAGGTCATCAATGAATACTTGGGTGCAATCTTCAACGCCAGATGCATAGCACATGCTGATATAAACCTTGGCGAATTTTGGTACAGCTTAGGTCTTAAATCCATGCTCGCTGCTCCGGCCTCAGTTGGTATTGGGTTCATGTGGCCTCCGGGGTCTGACTTGCGCTCCATTCACCTCACCGAGATCTCCGTCACCGCTATGCAACTTGGAGCATTGGCTGCGGCTCTCGGCATTGGATCAGAGGTCTCGTTATTTTTAGTTCACATCAAAGTAGGGTCATGGCGAGATGCTCTTCAAACATTGAGAGACGGGCTGCGTAATCCGCAGTCAGTTTCTATCAGATACCCAATTGGTGGTGAGGTTCAGAACCTCACAGAGGACCAAATTGAGTCAGCTTTCGGCTCTCGACACACAGAAGAGGGCACAAAGGCTGAATGTTACGCTATGGGGAGAATGGTAGAAAATCCACTCATTGCACCCAGATAGATACCACATAGGTTTTAAGGATAACGTTATGTTGGCTTAGACACAAGAGAACATTAGCAAACTGTGGACAGAATAGAGCTATATCTTATTACCTCAATTGATAGTTCACGATACACCCTATGCCCCTCCAGCTGTACGTTGCCCAACACCTACAGTTGCCTCCCCCTTCAAGCGATAAAACGCATCGATTTCCTCCTCATAAAGCTTCAGAGCAGCTCGACGTGAGATGGTTCCCTTCTCAGTACGTGGAAGAGGTCTTTTGGCATCTGCGATAATGATGTAATCTCTTCTCAAGTAGCCCCTCAGCAGCTGGTTCTGATCTGCTTGGTCAATGATATCCCCAAGAACCTTCCTCAGCCCTTCAATGGTCTCCGAGTCTCTTGGAGTATCGTCCTTCAGCTCTACCATTAGACAAGCGAACTTCTGCCCGTTTCCAATCTGTCAAATGTGTAAGCGATTCAAGATCATGCTGCACAACCTCAGGCTCACATACCATCACACATCCTTTGACATTGGGATGAGCACAGATCATGTTCTCCGTCTCGATGGGAGATAGCTTCTGGGCATCTTCCAAACAGATGATGTCGTTGCTTCTACCCATGTAGAGCCAGAGGTTAGGCTTTGTCGGGTGTTTGATGAACAAATCCTTGAAGTTGAATTCGTCCACGTCGCGAAAGGTATGAAAGATTCCTTGATGCAGAGCCCAGTGTTCATTCTTGACGGCGCGCTGCTCAAACAGACCCCTCTCGATTTCCGTGTACTCAAACCGGGCGTAAGGGTGGAACGAAACCCATAGGAAGTCTTCTTGCTCCACCAGCATGTCACCCATGAAGAGGCCTTCAGTTGTTCCGAAGAGATTGTGAACACGTACCACCTCATTCACCTTAGCGGCAAGCTCTGCGCTAACGGGGCCTGGAAGAGATTTGTTAACGGAGTGTTTGGCGAAGTGAAGTGAGAACGTACCTCCCCCAGCTCCGATGAACTTAGATGATTTGAACCTTTGCAGTACTTCAGGGTGCTGGCCCAGTTCGTTGACGTACACAGGCATGAAATGCCAAATATCAATGTTGCCATGGTCTGCAAGTGACGCAAGGAGATTCATGTCAGGGTGCACGCCAACAGGGCCCATCACGCTATGGGTGTCAAAAAGGAACGTCGCGAAAAGGTTCATAAAGATTCCGGGACCCTGCCTTCAAAGTCAGTTGCACCAGCTCCAAGGCCATGTAGTTGCCAAGACATACATGAAGAAGTACACAGGGAGAATAGAGTCTATCGCCCTTTTCATACAAGGTTGCCCAAGGACGAGCGCCGTTGTCACCCTCGAATGGCGGTAGAATGCGAGCGGCGTCCATGGTAGCAAGCAAGCCATTGCTGAGATAGATAGGCTTGGGCAGGCCTGTTGTACCAGACGTATGGAGGATGCAGAACGTGTCCCCCATTGCTTCGTCATAGGTCTTGGTATAAAGATAGTGAGGTGATCTGGACGCGTCGAGGAGCTCTGCTACAGTGGGAATCTCTATAATACGCAGCTTCCAGGTCTGCTGGATTTTCTCGACCAAAGGATACGGCGGGTAGTCGACCGGATGAACCCAAAGGCTACATTTTGTCGCCTCAAGGAGACCCAAAGCAGCTTCAATACTGTTACCTGGCGACAGAAAGATAACCTGAGCCTTGTTATCAGCCGTTCAAAGAAAGCCTTGAGACATTATCCTGGTTGGGTAACGTAACTTACTTGGTATCCTACTTTGACGCAGGCCAGATTCAGCAGGAAATAGCGAATGTCATCTTGTCTGGTCAGCATCCATCTGATACTGTATAAGCCAAAGATACTTACGTGGTCCTATATAACCAATGGTTTGGAATGATTCACTCTTGCCAACAAGAGATTCCAACCACCAGGCGGTCTTATTCACTGCGTTGGCAAACTTGCGAGCCGTAACCTCGGTGAAACCTTTGGAAATGTCGACAGACTTGGCAATGGAGTAAATAACTCGATCCGGTTCATCTCTGGACATCTGATCCAGGATGCAAGGAATGAGCCTCCTACCGAGTTCTCCAGCTGGTGCCATGGTTGTTGAGATAATGAGATTATGTGGAAGTGAAGCGATGTGTCATGTAATTGTGGGAGCTATTGAAATGGAACAGCAACACCAGGGACAGGCTTTAAACCACAGATGGGAGGGGCTATTACAGACCTGTCTAGTTGTCATGTTTTCTCGGTGCACGTCACGTACCGACGGGTGTGGCCGCATAACAGATAGCGCCGAGTTCACGTGGATAGATTTATGCATTTACTGCCCGAGAGCGTGCAAACTTCCGATTGGCAGTTGTCATGCTGCAAGTTGACGGCTGGAATTAAGCTTTCGGCCGAAATTGCCGTCAGAAAGGTGCGGAGCACACGGCAGTTGTTAGACAGGGATTAGTATGTGCGTTTATGGAGTCTCGGACATTCAATTGAAACATGCATCTTTCCTCGCGTGGGGCCTCCATTCGACAATTCAAGAGCTCCTCTTGCTTATTAATGATTTCAAGGCTCATTGAGAGGCTAGGAACGTAGCGTGGTATTCATACAACGTGTAGAGTGATTTGTTGTCTTCTACGAGGACATGTATCTAGTAAGCTCTGAAGCCACGTACACGCTCGAAGTCTGCACAACATTAGTTCCTCTTTTTATCCAAGGAGCCATCGCAGCACAGTATCAAACAAGTCAATTCTTCCGTACCTGGCACCTCATTGTCTTAACCCAAGCCATCAACAGCACCCAATCTATAGCCATGGAACTGGACCCAATCGCTATCCCGGATCCAATCATTACTGAGATTGATACTCCTACT